AAAAAAAAAAAAAAAAAAAAACGGAACTCCGCGTGTGTGATACACCGCGACCGAACACCGCTGCACGTATTTCATTTTGGAATATTATTGTACGCATACGCACATTATGTGATGTAGTTTAGTTTTAACGTAGGTACCTCTATATTATAATGCGGAAACGTATACATATTTTTTTTTCCGCACAATATGTTTACTGGAAAAAAAAAAAAAAAAAAACACGTGTCACATTTATGCGGTTGACATTTATCACTATAATGTATACAATAATATTTATATGCGGATTTCGTTTGGCGGGATTTCGTACAATATAAGTGACGTATCAAATAAATCTCCATTTGTCCCGTGGCCCCGCGGCCGCGGGCGGGTTGGTCGCGGAAAATATTATGCAAGTTATGAACGCCGCGCACGCATCGCCGGCACGACGTTCTCGTCGTCGTCGTCGTCGTCGTCGTCGTTGTATTTTCACGGCGCACAAAACATCATCGTAATAATAATAATACTACAGGGTACTTGAAAAATATCGTGTACAGGGTAGCCCGTGGGTTTGTGCACGCGATTCTGGTGTGTTCCGACGGACGCGCGTCGATCGCCGGACGGGATCTGTCTGCGGAACGCACGGCGGCGAGTCGCGTGGCTCTATCGCGCGGACAAACGCGGGTTTCGGGTGGATACTAGACGATCCGATGGCGCGTTCAAGGATGGGAGGTGGGCAAGATGGTCTCTGAAGAAATTTCGGGCGCCTTTCTCCCACTCTCCCCCCAACCACCCCCCCAAAAAAAAAGAAAGAAAATATCCTATACCCGCCACTGATTTAATCCGAGAGTGACCTTTATTCCCTATCGGATGTGTACACTTGCTAAACTCGTACTTAAAATCCCGAGACCGATCGTTCGGTCCTTGGTACCAAGGTTCGGATCATATCGTATGTTCGGTTTACGTTTTAGGTTGCCGTTATCTGTTTAATTTTTTTCTATGGTTTCAGAAAAAAAAAAATGTCATGTTCTGCTAATAACAATAATCTTAACGACTGCCCATCACGTGAATGTAATGTATCGAAGAAAAAACGTGAAATTTTAAAGGAGTTCATAAATAATTGTATACTAGTATAGTAAACGAGTAGAACGATTGTTTTATTACCGCTTTCGATTTTAATGGAATATGTTCACCGTTTCAATAACGAATTTCGTTTTTTAATGATTTTTTTTTTCTTTAGAACATTGCTACTGGATTTTTTTTCCACTCTATAGTTTCAATGTTATAAACTGTAGGTGACGGTCATCTGGTCGAGTACATTTTATATAGCACTATGTAATTATAGCATGCTGGCAGGACGCTACACTAATTTTTTTTTTAAAAATTATAAACCACCGCGCTTGCGATAATGTTCACACCGCTCACCGTACCATCAGGCCAGTGTGCGCGTGCAGAAAGACAAGTGGATATATTTGTAAAAAAATAACTTACAAAAAGACATCCTAGGATAACGAGGACGGGCACAGCCACTATTATAGATAATTTAATATATTTACTTGCAAAACAACTATAAACCATTGTTTACGAAAAAACGATTCTGAGCGGGGTTCAGTCGGTAATGATGCTTTGTCAACGGTAAATGTTTTTCCCTGTTTAACGATTTTTATCCCGGTTTTTCACACTCGCTGGGAAAACTCTTAGGAAAATCGAAAAATTACCTCTGTAAAATACCTTCCTAGTGAAATTCCCTTGTAGAAATATTGCTATCATTATAAGTTGGAGCGAAATTGCTGGTAAAAAATTCGTGCACGGAAAAATAGAAGGCCGCCATATATTTTAACTAATATCTACATTTCTTATACACTCGGCGATCTTTACCCAAATTACTTTATGTCAATCATATTCGCAGGGTTAGACAATTGTATTTTATGAGTTAGGGTCTCGGCTGCATCAGAGTCCCGTCCTGAATGTAAAATTTGAATTTAAGGATATAATTTGTTCGGTCCCGGGTTTTTAAAATGTATATATTAATTCTGTCCCGTGTAATTTATTTAGCCGCACGAGTTCCGTCCCGTTTCGCATTTTCTACACTATATTAACATGGTATGCAGTTTACGATTACGGTAACAATTTTATACTATTCAGAAATAAAGATAATATTGCTTTCAGTTATCGCACTAAATAATCAAATTCGTATACATTAATACTGTAATATTATTCGAATTTTTTCTGTATTTTAACATTGATAAGAAAATTATGTATATAAACAATTTTTTTTTTTTTTTTATCATATTAATTTAATCCAATAACAAATTTTCGTTTATGAAAGTACAAACTACGTTTGGATTTTTCGTATTTAACATCGATGGGAACGTTTTTAATCGGGACGGAATTGGTACATACCTTTTTTTTCACTTTGTACGGAATTGGTATACACCTTTTTTTTCACCCGGGACGGGATCGGTATAAAAAAAAAAAAAAAGGTTATTATGACGGTACTCGGATGCAGCTAGAGTCTCCGTTCGAATCCCTATACACCGCAGATCTGTTTTCGTGCACTTCGGAAGTTGAAACGGGACGACCTTCCGGATACCCGGGTCGCTGCATACAAACTAGTTTCACTTAACATTCCCGAGGTTCTGGACCACTCCGGTTATAATAATAGGTCGTGGTGTAATAGTTGTGCACGTACGACGTACGCGTTCGGTCACAATCCGTTGCCGAAACACGCGCCTTCTATTTAGGCCTTAATAAGGGAATTTTTCGATTCCGCCGGCTATTGCCGACTCACATTATACAAATTACAATAAACAAGATATGTATTAGTGGTAAAAACAGGTTAGAAACGACGTCGAACAAAGAATTGTGTTTAATAAATTAGAAAAAAAACCGACTGGCTTTATGATCCGTAATTAAGGAAGGATTTTTGAATATTTCACCCGTACGATAGGTGTTAAATACGGGGTGAATGTCAAAATATTTAGCAACGGGAGGCATTGAACTGAACGTATATTTAATTGGAGAGCGCGTATTATCGCGTTGGTTCCGCGTCGTAATCTGCAAAATTACTGCAGAAAAACCGGAAATCGGTGATAAACCAACGGAGTCTAACGAGTTTTCCAATACAATATTATGGCCTCGCGTTCGAATAGTAGACATTTAGTAAAGGTCGCGCAATCATTTGCGCGTTTCACGTTACACCGTGTAAAAATGAATTTGAATATAATTTCAGTTACGTTCGTATTGTACCTCTAATATCGATAAAAAAAAAAAAAAAAAAGAAAATAATTAAAATCAACGCGTAAAAATAAATAAAAAAAGTTCGGCGGAATCGATAGCCGACGGAATCGATACGTTTTTCACAGGTAAAAAGGTTTTTTCGGTGGAATCGATACATCTATACGCCCCTTAATAACGCAGTTCCTCCTGCAGTGCTCTCGACCGCCGCGCTAGTGAATTCTGCGACTGCCGTCATTTATTAATGTTCTGTCCCGGGACTCTTTCCTTTCTAATTGATGTAATTATTTTAAAAAAAAAAAAAAAAAACTTCCTTCATTTCTCTTCGCACCGATTCTTCAGATACTCGTGCTCTTCGGTAACAATATGACATGCCATCCTAATTAAAAATGTTATTAATTACATTCTCCAATCGGGTTTCAAAATTATCGACTGTATGCTTTACACACTTTATTCTATATGCTTTTATTTTTTATGTTTTATAATAACCGGCGTGTTTTTTTTTTTTTCTTTACCATATAGTCGTTTATATCCCGTTCAATTGTCGAGAAATACAATAATTTTCATTAAAATCTCAATAAAAAAAATAAAATGCGATTTTACATTTAAACCCGTCTGTTATTATTGGTTCTTTTAAGCGAATTTCCGCGGCATTTTTTTCGCGCTTGTCTGTGGATTTTAAGTGCAATAATTCTCGAACCCTAGTCATCCGCAGTAACTGCAATGCCGTGTTAAGCGGAAAATCGGGTTTTTCGCACGCGACGATATATACAATATTATAATAAACCCGGGTGGAAATCTCAAAAACCGACCGACGCCGTAAAACGTTGTCGGCGTAGAATCGAATTTTTTGACGTTCGATTTTTCGGGAAAAGTTCACTCGACGATCGGTCGCCGGATAACGAGTACGCCGGGAATTGGATTCTCGCGCGCACAAAGGCTCCCGCCGGTCCCGTTTGTTTTTCTTCTCAATGCTCTCCTCTCTCTCGTCGTCTCGTCATCGCCCGAGCAGACCCGCTTTTTTTTTTTTTTTTTATGTTTTTTTTCCTACTAGATTTTTTTCCTCCCCCGCCGTCGCCACCGCCGGCACAAAGGTACAAAGCAAGCTGCAGGGAATACGCGGCAAACGTAATTCGCCGCGATTGAAAAAATAGAAAATAATAAAAAATTCCGACGGAGAAAAATAATCCGAAGACATCGATAAGAGTGCGAGCGGTTCAACAGAAGAACGTGGTCGTATACCTGCGCGACAATCGAGGCCCGCACACCCCCGGGGAGGTACCTACCCTGTTGTCGTAAAAGTCTGGCGTATATTATTATGGTCGTCGTCGTTTTTTTTTTTTTTTTTTCCGTTTTATTTTCGGTCAGGAGGTTTTTTTCGTTCGTTTTTCCGCTTTTCGTATATACGCAGTCCGGCAGCTCGTGGCGTAATTATTAATACCGGTCGATTTTTACTCGACCGTACCGGCGGACGGGCAGCTCACCTTACGGCTGGCCAGGTGTACACCGCCGCGGTGTTTTTGGCGTGGTTCGAAGCAATTAATTCCGTGTACGCGTTTTCTCGACTTTTCTCGTGCCGGGGCCGCAGTCGTAACTCAGAGTTCCGGAAACTATTAAAATATACGTACTTAACCCCGTGTACACCACTATACTTACGCCCGACGAGAAAAAAATAAACCGGCGCGCGCAAACCGACAAAACACCAAATCTCTGCGGCCCCGCGACGTTGCATTTCGTCGTCTCGCTATACATCGGCCACTCGTTTAAAATATTTTACGACCGCAAGTCTTTTACTCGCAAAAATAGAACAACGTCTGTTTTCACATTTTATCGCACATTGTATTATTCTATTATTAAGCAAAACTCTCGAGAGGGGATTTTACTAAGCATATTGCGACCAAGTTATAATATACACTATATGAATTATAAGCGATGCAGTTTTTCAACGCGTTGGACTCCCGTCTCTCGCTCGCGCTCACCAAAGGTAAGGTATTTTTTAGTAAAGTCTGTAAAGAAAAAACGTCCGAATGAATTTGTGATAAATCGATTTGTTCCCCGAAGATAGTGCGGAAAGACACCAATGAAAAACACGAAAACATTGCTACACAATCACGAGCCGAGTGAACATCGACTTTGAAACGCAAAAATCTCGTCCGAAACATTCAAACCCTATGCTGCTCAACGTTATGTCTTAAACGTAAACGTTAAAACATAAAAACATAAAAAGTGGCTGGAAAACCGCGTCGGGTATAAATAACGGCACGGTAAAAGGCAAAAGCCGCGTCGGGAATGCCATATTTTTAAGTAGAACAGTCGGTGACCCCGCCTAGGTCCGTCGGTTCCCGACCAGCTCGTACCGGAATACTAAATCATCGAAATTTAAACAATCGGATTCTTATTTCTACTTCGATGTCACGTTTCCGGACTCGTCGCCGGGAGAACTGCTATCGGCCCCTATATATTACACGATATACCCGCTGCAATGGACCGTCTCGCGTGCGATTATTATTGATTTACGATGCGGGCGATCGTCTATTGATAACGGATATCGGGTTGTTATTGGGCGGTTATGGGGGGGGGAGGGGGAGGAGGAGACACGTTTTTGTTTGTTTTTTTTTTTTTGAAGATTTTCCGTTCGATACGCCGAGCGCACGGGCGAAGCCGAGCGAGATCCGCTCTACAGCGATACACCATAATATAATATTATTATAATAACGTCAAATGCGTACACCGCCGCACAACAAGTGCCCGCGTAAATACCAAACTGAAATTAATATACAAGTCTATCTAATATAAATGCAGTAGTTATTTAACTAATATTCCGAACATAAACACAACTAAAATAAAAGTAAACAGTTGCCCGGTCGCGCAGTGTTTATGGTATACGCGTACATGCTGCTGTACACATTATATTATAATATTGTACTTGCATTATAATGTTATAATATTATGTACGTTAATCATTTTCGACCGTACGCCATGCGCGCACTAAAATATATTAACTACGAAATTAGAATTAAACTGCAGTATTTTCGTGTTTAAACAGCGAAATTCGATGCGGTCGCGAGAACAGTACGCGGGAATTCGCGACATGCCATAACAATAGCAAATACCGTTTTTCAGACGAATTCGGGTGCGTTTACGAAAAAAAAATCATTTCGGTGGTAATAAAATATTTTATAACAATATAGCCGGCACAGTTATAATTTACTAAAAGTAAAAGGGCGTAGAAGGGCGCCACGAAAAATTAGAAATATCAATAATAACAATATAATACTATCTATACTATACTATCTAGTAATAAAATAAACCAAAACCGAAATTGTATTTGTCTTCCTCGTTGACTGCAGAAATCGCTTTCGAGACTGTTAACAGTCTACTTTCATCATGATTTTCATGCAATTTCAGTGGGGTGAGGGTGGTCGAACCCCCGACCATGTACACGCGCCTGGCCGAATTAACACATTTTTAAATTAATTTTCAAACGCACCCGGCAATGTATTTGTTTTTCTTCGGAAAACCCTTTTTCGGTCGGTGAAAATGATTCGAACGTTCACGTTCACGTTGTAAATTAAATAATACGTTTTTTTTTTTTTTGTTTCACCTGATACATTGAAAAAACTATCTATAGAAAGCCAACGTTTTTTCCAGTGCATTAAAAGCACCAAAAAAAAAAAAACGACGATAGCCGAGGGAAGCAACGCGACTGATACAAAACATTGTCGCGGTTTACCTAGCTCCGCTCAGAATCGGTTTCTCGATAGCGTTCATTTATCGTCGATTTTCATTACTCTCCAATTAAATCTTCTTATATGTTTTCGAATATTGCGTTCGACTTTTTACGATTTTATATTTCTAAACGGAATTCTTTTATTGTTATCACGTGTATAGACTATACACCGCACGAAGTTAATTTCCGGGCGGAGTATTTCAACGCGACCGTAACGCGTTTAAATAATATTTTTTTTTTTTTTTAACTTTGTCGCCGTCTCGGCATTTCCGCCAAACACATTGCTAATAACAAATAACATTGGTACTCGTATCGCGCGGGCGTAGAAAAAAAAACACCTTTAAAAATTGAATTACTAGGTACGGATGTCGTCGATCGATAATTATTATTATTTATCGTATATATTATCTAAGGAACGTTCGGATTTCGTTTCTAATTTAAAATTTAAAGCATTTTACGGCCACGACACCTACTGCAGAATTCTGTAAAATTTTTCCGGTGCCGGCGAGTCGATTCCCGAGACTTACTTTACGCACTGTAGTTGACTCCCGGGATCCTGTTGGGTATGCACGGGTCGATTCCCCCCCCCCTATTGTCGTATACCAGCACAACACACAAGTATATGATAATACGTCGAATAAACACTTCAGCGTATTAGCGTTACCCAAGAGACGCTACGAGGAGGCGTTGGCTGACAAGTCTCTCAAACATTATTTCTTTATAGTTCTCGAACCGTGCTGGGTTAACATTACGGCATTTTACGTTTAGACTGTTTCAGGTACATAGGTATTAGGGAATTAGGTTCGTCGTCACGTGTTCGTCGTAGTATTCCATTTTAGTTCGCACTGGGCGAACATTTAAAAATGCGTTATCATTAAAAACTGATATCTGGTAATGAGATTACATGCAGTATACACGTGTCACAGTCATTCATCAATACAATTTCTTTTCTCTGTTTTTATTGGATTTTCCGGTATCGTTGCTCCTGCATTTAGTATGATATTATGTTTACGACTGTACTCCTATTTAAATTCAAACGCATCTATCCAATAAAATTCGACGAAATATCGAGCATTTCCGTTACTGATATACGAAAATACGCCTTGGGCATTAGCCTAATGGGGATGGGTAGGGCCACCGTGTTGGGTAATATAATGTATACCTGTAAGCAACGATAAACCATTGCTTACGAAAAAAACGATTCTGAGTGGAATTCAATTGATAATGATGCTTTTTCAACGATATATATGCCATATTACGGTAAAAATAATTAAGTAAGCTCTAAACATTTTATTTATAATATTTGTTTAATGTCGTACCGATTTCCCCGGTATTCCTACGTTTTTCCCGGTTTTCTTATGTTTTCCCCGAGTTTTTCACATTTGCTGAAAAAAACTCCGAAGAAAATCGAAAAACGATCGATTTAAAAAACGTCCCAAGTGAAATTTCCTTTTAGAAATATTGCTATCATTAAATGTTAAAGCAAAATTTCTGGCAGAAAAGTTGTCCGAAAGAAAAAAAAAAAAATTTTCATTATACAAATATATTTCGTACATTTTCCTAAGGTACTTCTTCTGGGATAAGTATCTCTCCCCGTACCGATTTCCTTTCGGAAAAGTTGCTGCACGTAAAAATCGGAGCCGTTCTTCTGGTAGAAAAGCTGTCCACACAAAAAGAAAAAAAAAAAAAGAAGAAAAAAACCACTTTGTAAAACCATAAGCTTTTCTTCGCTCCACTCAGAGAATCTAAAATAACGGAATCGACTCGTAGCACACAGCCCGTTTTCCACTTTACCGGGTCCGTATGCCCGCTGCGATTGTATAGGTACCCCCGCTGTAGGGTATCTCGTGAAATTGATCGGTTGTTACGGCCGAAACACTGTCAAAGTACGTCGAAATACTCACGGAAACGCATACATACCATTTGCAATATTGTAAAAGTTTTCTAGACGATTAGTAATGCGATTCGGAAACGTTATAATAATATACGTATACACGTTCCGGGTACCTATGTATTATACCCACCCACAATTGTTGACTTAATAAAAATAAAATAATACATTTTTACCGTCTCGTTCCGTTCCAAATGGAAACGCACCCGAAATCCAATATCGTAAAAAGTATTATTTTTTTTTTTTTTTTTTTTTTTTTATTTATTTATTTTTTTTTTTTTAATTTTCTAAAAAACAATAAATCAACCGAAATGTCGTTTTCCGGACTGTTACACCGCAGAAATTATTATATTTTAATGTAATTCTTTTCGGGGTAAATGTTTTTCAATACACACTACGACATAATGAAATAACACGTTTGCCAACGTCAGCGGGATAAAAATATTTTTTTTTTTTTTTTTTCACTTGCACTCAGTTAAATTAAATTACACGGAGTTATAATGTGAATTATGCAAAAACAGATACCGAAATGAAATGGCAATAAACCATGGGAAAAAAAAAATACAATAATAATAATAATAATAATAATATATTACTTTTCGTTATATTATTTCTTATGACATATTGATTTTTATTCCGTCAATACGGAAAAGGATTTTTTTTTTTTTTTTTCACTTGCACTCAGTTAAATTAAATTACACGGAACTACACAGAAAGAAATACTTCGACATATTTATTGTTATTATTGTTATTAATATTCAAGTACTTTGGAAATTATTATTTTATCGAATCGAAATACACGCGCAGAACCACCTATCCACCTACGCGTAATGTCGCCGCTCCACCCGGTTAGCGACGGCTGGGGTGGCGGTGGCGGGACGGCGGCGGAGTGTCTCGACTAGTTTTCGGAAATGTCGCGGCGCACTACTGTTCGTCTCGAGCGACACGCACGGGACGGTACGCACATGTAATAACGTAACGGTGAAAAAGCGTTTTAGAAAATATGAAAAAATATTTGTACGGAGAAGTTACAGGGCAAAGGTCCCCGCGGATCAGATCGAGTTCGATAACTTCAAGGGGCGCCATGTTTTCCACTCAAGTCTCACTCGCGGTCTACGGCGGTTACTCTTTTCGAGTACATTTCAGTGGGTGTTCGGCCGTCGATATTTGCGCGTGGTGTCGCCCATAACATTACACCGTACACAAAGTTGGCCGGTGTAACGCGAGTCCGTACAATACGCTTGAAAATTCAGAAAAAAAAAAAAAATAATTCGACATCGGATCGCCAACTCGTTGGACAACGCGTTATGTTCCGTCGCATAATGTTTCGGCAATAACAACGTCCCTGTTATTCCGGATATTGCGGCGGGTCACGTTTCATTCCGTCGCCGTTTCGTTTTTACACGGTAAACGACAACGGTTTTCAAACGAGCTTCGACACTGCGAGTTCACCCGTTCCGGACGCAGGAGTTGTGCGGGATTCGAGTTCGTTCGACTCGGACATCCGACGCGGCGTGCCGTTTCCATCGCGGCATTTCGACACGCGTTCAGCACATTACCGTCCGTTCCGCCGCCGTCGTGGCCGCGCGGCGGTGCCGTTCAAACGCGAAATGATCCCGACGGCTCGCGCCGCAAACTGCACGATATTTTACGATAGTATTTATTATTCACGGTAACGCGAATTCGAGGGGGGGGGGGAGGCGATCGCCGAGTGTCGTCGTTTTCCGTACGGTTTGTGCGGCAGGGGGTCGGTCCGAGACGGCAACGGGCGATTATAACGACGGCGTTCCTGTCGCGTCGCAGCCGTTTTTCTCCGGCCGCAGCCGTCGGACTCCACTATTCGCGAAACGTTTTCGGAACGTTGTTGTTGAGATTTGATTTGTTTTTTTTTTTTTTTCTAAACTTACTCCACATCGCGCGCGCGATACCCGTAAGTGCGGCCTATTGTCGCGACCTGCGGGAACGCGCCGTTTTGTCGCGTGTGACTCGGTTTATTATTTATTCGCGTTCATTCGCAGGACGAGTGTTTCCCCCCCCCCGAATATAACAATAAAAATAATCGCGCGGGGCGAATGGCCGACGGCCAGATATCCGACGCTTTTGTACGCCATTTTCGGCGACGAGAGGGAATATGGATCAAAAAAAAAAAAAAAACCGTTTGATGAACCTTTCGTTTCAGAACACACGACGAACGATAAATAGTCAATGATACATTACTATTATACCTACCTGGCTATTCGTTAAAACAAATGCCGAAAATGTGGACATTTAATGACAAAACGAAAACAAAAGACGTCCTAGGATAATGAGAACGGGCGCGGCCACCGTCACAGATAATTCAACGTATATCCGTAATCGACAACGGATCGTTGGAAAAACGATTCTGAGCGGCGGGGTTCGGTTGATGTTTCGACGGCAATATACGTTCCAGATTATAAAAAATAATTTTAATTAAGCTTTTTTACATTTTCATTGATACTGTTTGTGCACCGGTTTGAACGCGCGCGGCCGCCCGATAACGTCGCGCCGTCGGATGCTGTGACACGAGCCGTCCGAACGGCGTCGCCGGCGGTGAGGGGCGGCGCACTCGCGGGTCGCCGCGGCCGCGCTCCGTAAAACGTAAACGCACCCGCACGCACGCACGGCACGGCCCGTCGTATTTTTTGATCGTGTCCGGACGGTCGTCGCGTCCGCGTCGACAATTGAACGCCGATAACGGACCCGCCGTTTAACCTTATAATCTCTGCGATCGTTCCCCCCCCTCCCATTCACTTGCCGTTACTCCGTTCGTCCCGGTTAATAATATTGTTTTTTTTTTTTTTTTTCTCTACTTATTAACAATATGTGCCGGCCGGGTACGCCGCATCGAAACCGCCGTCGTCGTCGTCGTCGTCGTCGAGGATTTACGACGACGACGGTTCCGATTTTCGAGGTCCCCTAATCGAAGCTGACAACACGACAAACGCGACGTTGACCCCGGGGGCGCGCAGGTTATTGTCGCCGTCGTCGTCGACGACGACGCGCGCGCATCTTGTCGAGTTTTTTTTTTTTTTTGATTCCGAGCGCAGCGATCGTACGTATCGGTTACGTTGTTTTTTTATTTTTTTCTCCCGGCGCCGCACGCGACATTTCTACTGGAAATCGTGTTATGATTTTCGTGCGTCGCCATGCTTGTCCGAATGGAAACGTCGCCGCGCGGCCGTTATACGTTTAAAAGGTCGTTTAATTGAGAATTACCGAGATAACGTAGGAACCCGAGAAAGTTTAAAGAAATGACGGTTCGGTTGTTTCCGATTTTGGCACTTTGTTGCAGTCATTCGGTTGAAAATAATCCTGACGTTTTCGCAGAATACGTCTTATCAATTATAAGACGTAATAGACGCGGTAAAAGACGTTTTCAAAACATTTTTGTCGCTATCAAGCTGTTTTATAAGTAATTGACATTTCCGAGTTTTTACTTTTGTTTTTCAGCGGATAAAACCGTTCGGCCAAGCAGAGATGATGCTGGATAATTTAATAAGAGGTTTAATAGTTGAATTTACCACCACAAAAAAAAAAAAATTTAGCGCTCACTATTTCACGTGTGTATACACGCCTTCACGTAAAATTAATCACGTCTAATTTATGGAATTGTACTATCTACAAGCTACTTAAAAAACTGTCCTAGGATAATGGGGACGGTGTAGCCACCGGTATAGGTGATTTTATGTATATTTGTGACCAACGATAAACCATTGCTCACGAAAAAAACGATTCTGAGCGGAGTTCAGTTGATAACGATATACTCTGTCAACTATAAACACATCATATTTGTTTAATATTGCACCGATTTTCCCGGTTTTCTTACGTTTTTCCCGTTTTACCTCTTTAAAGTACCTTCCCAGTCACATTACCTTTAAAAAAAAGTGCTATCTTTTTAAATTGGAGTAAAATTGTTTCGATTTATCGTCGCGAACAGATAATGTATAACATATTAGGGTATCCTATACCTTCCTAACTTTCCACCTACGACATAAGCGCAATCGTCGACAGTATAATGAGCTATTTTTTTTACTGAACTCAATAAACCCCCCTCCCCCCCAAAAAAAAGTGACTCGAAATTTAAATAAAACGAATAAAACGTCGATGTGTGTGTTGTGAGTGAGTTTTTATCCGAGTAATTTAAATTAATCGCAAAGTACCTACTATTTATACCTGTGTATAGGTACTTTTGTTTTTAGAAACACGAAACGAAAAAAATAACAGGTATAATATTATAAGCAATTGTGTTTTATATAAAAAAAAAAAAAAGAAAATTTTTTACACAATCATGCCAAACGAATAATTATGTTTTTTTTAACAACTCAATTTAACGCGGCATAAACAAATACACTTTTTACGATCTAACATTAATACAGGTTCTTAAATCCGGATTAAAGTCCCCGGGATAAAACTCGCTAAGAACTGGACGAACGGGACGAACGCTTTGAATCGCGCGTGAAAAAAAAAAAAAAATAATCGCTAATCGAACGTTCAAATTTAAACGTGTACGAACACGAGGGGTTCACCAGACGCGGTCAAGACCGGACCGGACGATTTCGCGGCGTCGGCGGTGGCGAAGACGGTGGACGGCGCGCCGACGGACAGGATTTCTCCGCCGCGCGTAATGGGCGAATAACGTCCGTAGTACCAGTACAAGACAATAGAAATATTTAGTTTTTTTTTTTAATCCGTCCGGAAACCGACGAACGCGCGGCGGCACCGCGCGTTCGCGAAACGGTTTCGCGCGTTGTTATCGGCGCGCTCGCGGTGCGGCGGCTTATTGAAAGACCTGGGCGCGGGAAGTCGCGTGTGCACTAACGCGTTTCTTGTTTGTATTTTTTACGGCGAAAAAACGGTCGGCGGGGGTGGGGAGAAAAACAGAAAAGAAAAAGGCGATATTATTATATTGCGTTTTTCGTTTTGCGCTCGCGAAATCGCTCACACCGCGGGGCCGGCGCGTGTATGGTTATTACGGGAACGCGACGCAAATCCGAATATTAAACGACGTGAACGCGGGCGGGCGGGCGCGGCGACGGCAGTCGATCAAAAGGGTCGGCGTGATTTTTTTGCGTTTTGCGTTTCGAACGTCGAGACCCGGCCGTTTGTAAAACGTGGCGGCGGCGGCGGCGCGGCGCGTACGGCGACGCGCGAGGATACCGCACGGAAATTGTCGTTTTCCGCGGCGTTTCTTTTTTCTTTTCGCTTTTCCCGCGGCGGCTTTTCGGGGGGAAACCCCGCCCGGACGGGTGGGGCGGGGGGGGGGGGGGGTTGAGATCCGCGGCGTACAATAGGTACGCGAATACGACGGGGGCCGTAGGGCGAGGGGGCAGGAGAAAAGCGGGGGAAAAAAGCCGGGGAGCGGGGGAGGGGGCCGCGAGCCGCGGAAACGTCGTTACGGCCGTTGCGACGTAACGTTACCGCCCGTAACGGGGTTACGGGCGGTAACGAGCGTAAACCCGCGCGCGCGGCAGTCGCGGGGCGCCGTCGGAAAATCGGTTAATTTCCGGGACCCGGGCCGCGGGTTTGATAACATTCGTGCGCCCCGTTTACCCGCCTCCGGGACGCCGCCGCCTCGCGTTCGTTTCCCATTCGGATTCCGGTCCGTTTGCGCGCGCGTACACGCCGCAGGTACGTTACGGCGCACCTGTCGTTATCGTTACGCGTAATACGAGACGAATAATAAACACCGCCCGACTCAGAATCCAAAAAAACACGTCGATACCGAGGAATTTAGAAGGTAAGACACGTGAGGTTATTCGAATAATATCGCTAAGCACTGCTAAACCGTTACCGTCTTATTTTCGGGATCGGAGTACGATTTCTGGTACAAAATGTGTTGACAAACAGAAACAAATTAACTAAATTCATCATAGTACAATATCAATACACGGTCATCGATTTCTCCGTTTTTCTCGCATTAAGATCTTCAGTCATATGTGCGATGAACTATTAATTATTTGCGAAGTAAAAACGTTTGTACAGTTTATAATCTGGAGGGGGGGGAAGCCGAGGCCCCTGGATCCCCCCGCTAATAACCTCTCAATGCCGTTCGAAAGGAATCGCGTGAGTGCGCGAGTTGTGTGGCGTGACCTACCCGTCGTGTACTGAGTATATGCTTTGTTTCTTATGGTCGGTGCTCAAAACTCGCAAGCACTCCAAAAGAAACTAAATATGCTTATAAAAAATTATTTTGTAAAATGCGCGAAAACCGAACGTCCCGATTTCAATGCGAAATCGATTTTCTCTTGTTACCGGGCGATTTAAGATTAGATTAAGATTGAAGTAGGATAATAAGATTATATATATATATATATCTTATGAGATATAAGACTGAAAATATTTCCGTGTACACAATTCGAGATGCGGAAAACCTAAAGAACCAAATCGTGCACTGCTGCTAGTCCGGAGGTTTTTTTTTTTTTTTTT